GACATGAGGTCACATTCACCCTCTTTTATTAATTCGGAAACCACGGTGTTACAAATGGCGATCATTTATTGAAACACCATGGCAGTTTTGTTAATTTTTTTTTTACGAAACTTGTTTTTTTTATACCAGGGAAATATTTTTCATAATGCGTGGGTAGTGCAGAAAACGTCGGCGGGCCGCTGGTTGGAAACTCCTGGCCTACATGTTGTGTCAAATCAAAGTCAGGTTTGAGGGTTGTCTCACCTGCGTTCACGAGAAGGATGTGGCCTGCGAACAGGAGGTGTTTCAGGTCTGACGGTGTAATTAAGCGTTTATGGCTTCAAGAACGGTTTAATTTTTCCTTTATTGTCTCAAAGAACCGTGGAACTTAATCACTGTTTATAAAAATGGTTAGTTATATTTCTCATTCTTAAGTTGTTTTAATAGTATATAAAATGAAAAATTACATCAAGTATATTTAATCAAGAAGTTATTTACATAAAACTAGTTTCAAATGCTGAATGGCATTTCCTGTATGGCAATAAATGTCTAATTCTTTACAGAGTGGATTATGGTGCACTGAGTTATAATCCTGCAAACTTGAAATATGACCATAAAGTAATCTAAGAAAAATATAGGTTAAGTGAAAGTTCAATTCCTTTGAAAGTAATTGTCACAGTTTCAACTTTTATTTAATTCAAGACACTGTATTGGTTTCGGAGTTCAAAGACTCGAGAAATGTGGTTCTCAAAATACTGTATATAAGTTTCAAACATGACGTTATTGAGGAATACCGTACTCTTAGAACAAATGCAGCTGTTCTATATTTGTAAAAAAAATCACCTACAATTGGTTGCTACTAACAGTCTTTTGTTTCTGCGGCCAGTTTTGAAGTATACGCACATTTAAATTAATTTTCTAACATCTACCCAATTTTAACTGGTTACAGTAGCCGGGGTCCAAGGCGTGGATCCTATCCTCTTGAACACTAGGGTCGTTGGTTCGAATCCCACTCGAGGGCTGGATATGTGTCGGAGTTTCTCTGCCTTGTGTAGGTAGTGGCTTCCCTACGAATTGACAGTTTCCCGGTCAAAGGAGATCTACGACATGTCAGAAAAAGAATCCACCGATTCAGAAGTTAGTTCTGAAGTACAACCGGCCAGAGGGCGTAATCCGTTAAAGTTGAAGCAGAATATTCCCCTTTTTGATAATTGACAAAGTATGTAGGCTGATAACTATATTTATCTTATCTGTAATACACTTTATTTCAATTTTGCAACAAACACAGCGATGTCTCTAAATCCGGTCTGTAGCTTAAAGAATTAATTATTATTTTCAGAATTTTTGTAATATTTTTCTCCCCCCACCCCACTTATGCAAGGAAATACAAATCAACATTTCTCTTAACCAATTCTTTGTCCAGTCTTACTACAGTCACCAGTTGGGACTCAAATAGCGGTACAATCACAACCATCCGCTCTTATAACCAGAATCCCATCCGCCAGAACCCCCATAACCACCATGTCCTCCGTAGCTCCCAAGGCTGTACCCACTTTGATAGGGGCGGTAACCACTGTAACCCCCATCATATGGCCGATAGCCCCCATAACCGCCCAGACTATTATAATATCCACTTGGCTTGTAGTAAGTCCCATATCCGCCGTAGCTGTAACCATTTCCATAACCGATGCTGGGCCTGAATCCGCTGTATCCTCCTCCGCTCACGTAGTTTGGATTATAATTGACGCTCCCTCCTCCATAGTTCCAGCCGCCTCCATAGCCACCATAGCCGCTTTTATAGCCACTCCCATAGCCACCATAACCGCTTCCATAGTCACCATAGCCACTTCCATAGCCACCATATCCGCTTCCATAGCCACCATAGCCGCCTCCATAGTCACCATAGCCACTCCCATAGCCACTTCTGTAGCCACCATAGCCGCTTCCATAGCCGCCATAGTCTTTCCCATAGTTTCCTCCGTAGGTCCCGTAATACTGGCTTTTCTTGTCATAGAAGCCGTAGCCTCCACCTGACCCTGTAGCCACCGCCACGAAGATCGCTACCATAAAGGCCACCTGGAATATGTCGCCAGATATGAGGGAATGTGACGAAAATAAGAGTAGAAATGTTCTCTCCCAAATGCATTTCTTGCTGTTTTACATACTGAGCTTTAATGACCTTGAATGTTGTGTTTAAGATTCAAATACAATGTTATGAAGCGAATCACCAACTGCGTACATAATTTTATCCAAAATTCTTGTGTCAAAGTTGCCGTAGACAAAATTATTGAGAATTATTAGTGTGGAGTTCTACGTAGTCGATATATAACTGATCAGTTCTGCATTCGTCAGATACTAGGGAAAAAATTATGGTACAATGAAACAGTACGTTAGATGTGTACAGACTTCAAAAATGAAGTTTGATTTGAGGTCCATGACCATTAGGGATTATTGGATCGATCGGACCAATAGGATCCAAAATGAAATTCCCCTATAACTTTAATTATGGATCCCTGTAAAAATGTCAGTTTTAGAGAAGAGACATTCGGACATACACGGCGTCATCCTCAATATGCAGAGCAGGTGGAGTATGGTAGAGGCGTACTGCTTACTGTCGAAATGAAATGAGAATCAGGATTGAATTATTCACCTGCAAATGATTTACCACGGATTATGATGGGAGGAGCAGGTGAAAGGTTTTGAACCGAATGGTATCAAGCAGTATTTGATTCTTTTTCTTTGTGAATGTGTTTTATTTCTTAGTATCGTTCCAAATTATTAGAACTTTACCATATTTTCGAATTAGGGAAAAAAAATTTAAAACTTAAAAATTTACTTTATCACTGTGTGAAAGAGGTTGTGAGATCTTACCTAAGAGGTGTGATGTTTGGGACAACATTCCTTTTTAAGAACCTCTACAGTGGGCGTAGCAACGTTACTTAATAAGTAGGCTTATGTTGCAAAACGAATACCCACATCGAATTTCAAGGATTATGGATCAACCCTTTCTTTTCATATTTCCTAACGTTTCTCACATATGTTTATTAACATACAATATATTCCATTTCTAATTTAGGTATCGTGTTAAATCTCAAGGTGAAAAAAGAATGGTAACTTGCTTTCAATATCTGGATTTGTTTTCCGCATGATGGTTTCAGAAAATTAAATAGAAATGAGTGTCTAATTGTTTGCGGGACGTTTTCGCGTTATAGACTTCAACTGTTTCAATAATTGTCACCTATGTCTGATAACATATGAAACTCTTACTTTCAGGTTATAGAAAAATACTGAGCATTTCTATAAATATTAACTGGACTGGAAGTTAGTTCTGGGAGTAATTATAGATTTCAGTCGTGGTATATAAAACCAAATATCGATAAGAGACCTAAAATAACATTTTTAAGAAGCAAAGATTGAACGAAACAGATTAGCTGTTATACATGATTATTTTGCAATGGAAGGTTTAATAAACAAACAGAATTTCGAAGAGGGGCTGTCTTCTGGGTTGTAGCGCCGTATGATCTGATAGACGTTTACCAGCGTTTCAGAGGTCCTTTGTACTCACCACCATAAGAACCTAAAATTCTGCTTACTTGACAAGTTTGCCGTAACCGAAAGAATTTTTAAACAGAATTTGGTGAAGATTTTCCGAACTGAATAATTTGTTATGCACAAATACATTTTCACAACATGACGAATTAAGGGAAATTATTAATAAATGTCAATGTGTGAAGAAATGCCGTTATCGACATTATAAACGAAATGTGTCGTTATAAGATGGTCTGTAGATTGTTCGGAAACTCGGTATGTATTCCTGCAATAAACTTTCGCAAGCCAAGTAAGGTATTGGTCCATAATATTCGGTCCAAGATGTCTCGTTTCTCTGAGTCCTAATGCCAGTCGCCTGTACTGAACAACAGATAAAATCTTGCATTTCCTCATATCTTATTTCTTCTTACGTTTTGCATTATTATGCTTGATGAAAATAATTTGAAGCTCTAAGACACGTAACCTTCTCTTACTTTTATTAGTAAACTTAAATGAAGGAGGGTGAAATGGTTGGTGCACAATGTACATAGTATTTTAATCGGATAATTTCCTGGAAGAGACTACTTTGGGACATAACATCAACAAGGAATCGCAAATATATAGTGTGTGTTGATTCAACTCATGTGCCTCACGATAGAATCCAGTGGCGGTACCTTCCGAGCACATTCATGAAATTTTGTGTTCCATCAAATTTTGCTAATCCTAGAGAACCGCCCAACGTGACTGCTTATTCAAAACTTTTTGAATGACAATTTGTATAGCAATAAGTGTAATAACCCGAAAATTTAAAAAAAAAACCCAGACAAATGAGACTGAAGAAGATCTCGATCAGCAGCTGCATTAATCCAATTAACATTCTTGCACCCAAGTTTTCTTGTATCTATTCAATATTATTTTCTCATGTTCCAAGTGGCTCCGTTCAAACAGTTGAAGTAACGTGGTCATAATTGTTTAAGATACTGAATCTACTCACCGGAGTCCTCATCTTGGTATGTAGGACCAACTGTCCCGTGGTCACGGCGTGAAGGTGTGTGTCTTGTCCTACGCTTTGTCTTCGCCTTATATACGCTTCGCTGCGAGAGGCAGCGTAGCGTATCCTAGATTCACCCTGTGCTAATCTGTAACTTGTAGACCAGGCCAAGTCGATAACACCGCGGAATCTGCCAATTTCTGGACTTCTTCATTGTTGTGGCATCCGTTCTTAAGAATTAACAAATACCGTACCTACCCGGAGTAAAACTGGCATTCCAGGGCAGATCTTAAAGTTTAATGAGACACACACACAAACATACGGATGGAAACTGTGAGCGTGCATTTTATTAGGTGGCTCAGATTTTTTTAAGGTGTTCTGTCTGACGACAGGTCCATATGAACAGGATCCTTCGATCCTTTTCTCGGACTGGGACCTGTTCATATACGTTCTTGGCAGAGATGATCAGAAGTGGTTTGCCATTGCCTTCTTCTGTGTGTGAATGGAGTAATTGTTGGGATGCCACGGAGAAACCGGGGAAGCCCCCGGAGGAAAACTCCGTGTTGCCTAGACCACGGCCTTGCCCAATACAAGTTATAAATTCGGGCACAGAAACTGGGTTTTGTGAGTAGGACAATTAATCGTCAATTCCCGTGAAAGGGGAGGAATTACTTGACCATCTGAGTAAATTTATTATCAAGAAAGAAGCTGTACCATCTGTTTAGTAAGTGGATTTGGTAAAGCTTTTAACAAAATTAATTAATTTCACTAAAATATAATGCTCGGTACCTAGACAATGCATGATTCTATTATTATACATAAGTCCGAATCAGTTTTATACTGAATTTGATGGGACAGTTCAATGCGACTTCTGTGTGTATGTTCTCGGCATATGAAAGGCAGTCCTTGCGAACGCCTTGCAGAAACTACGCTCCCGACAGTAACCGTCGCACGATGTTAATTCGGGCCTACATGCGTGCTAAGAAAAGCCACTCCGAGCATGAAATTACTGCGACACAACGTTTCTCATTGCAGCTGACAGTGAGTAATATTGGAAGATAGTATTTTTCATGAGCCAGCATCTGCTTACCTCGCGAATAAGTTAGTAAGAATTTCCTCTTTTCTGTTACTCCTGCCCATGTCGTTACATGTTCTGAATTTTTATGAATTTCTTCGTAGTGGTGGGAATTTTCTGTCTTCAGGACGGCTTTTTAGATAAGTCGCGATTTAGTAAACCAGTCACACAAAACAGATAAAATATTCATCGTTGGCGCTGTGTGTATTGGATTTCCGCAGGACAAGAACTTAAACGTTTAAAGAAGTCATAAAGCTTCTGTAATTCGAGAGTTAAAGTTGTATTTTTGATTAGAAAATTTTGAACCGTTCATCCATAAAGGCCGACGATACCTCGAACCCAAGTCTCTTTTCCATTACTGTATAATTCACGATTATCAGAGCGTGTGGGACTACTTCCACTGAGCAGAGTTCTTTCGTTCCTGAGGAACTCGTAGTCTCTCAGTCAAGAAATTCACCTTTTACGTAACTCGTAAGTTCGCTAGCCTTTTCACAAAAGCCTGCCACATGAACCAGCTATTTCCAGTTCGCACCTTTTTTAAGATTTGGTTTAATATTGTCTTTTCATCTACGCCTACTTCTCCTAAGAGGTTTCTTCACTTTAAGTTTTCGACTAAAATAGTGTCCTTATTTTTTATCTTACTCCTGGATCCAAAATCTCCCAAATTATCGTCCTTGATTTGATATTGCTATCAATATGTGGTGAAGAGTGGCCTACCAGTTATCTGAAACTCCTCCAAATGTCTTCATATTCCTGTTTTTTCCTGTGTTTCAGAGCAGAATATCCTCCCCAGCTCTTCGTTATCAAACATCGTGTATGGCGAAAAAAGATATCCTACTACAAATGTTTAATATAAATTTCGTAGAAAGAGCAACGTTTCATTATAAAATTCACGTCTCGGATTAAAATTGCTTATCAAATGAAATGATTATATTTTCTAGTTTACTAAATAATTGTTCAAATAGGAATTACATACATCGTATAACTCGACACAATATTATCAGACCTATTACAAGAGCCGTTAAACTGAATGAACACAGTCTCTTTTCCACCTCATATGTTTGCAACAGAACTATATTTGCGTTGTTAATATCAAGGATTCCAAAATATATATAGCATCAAGGCCTCCAGAGATAAATAGTTTCCGGGTAAGTGTTTATTAGACCTGAAGATGGTACTGGGTCCATTCTGTACCTAAATAACTGTTAGGAGATTCACTCAGATTTGTAGAACACAGTTTCCAAATATTAATAAAAATATATTCTTCTGTTATTTAAAGACCAACCGCAGAGTTTATGTAGCGTGGAATAAAATGACATGTTTTTCTTTTCTTTTTAGTTTCTTCCCCTGAGGTTTACAGGCGTATGTTCATTTTCAAATACGTGGTACATTTATTTCTTCTCGTCAAGTTCTCGCCGAGTTAATTTCCATAAAGATATCAGATTAGCTACGTACTGTGAAAATAATTAGCCTATGCAAATTTCTGCATTCGGCGATACATAACGTCGGTAATTAATACAGCACTGTAACATAATCAAACAATGGGAGTACCCTTGACATGGGTACTTTAATCTATTCAAGTACCTATGCGATCTAATAGCCTTGACGTCTAGTTATCTCCATAAACGTTATGCAAAAGTATGGGGCAATGATTTACCGCGCTGTTCGGAAGAAGTTATATGTAGGATAAAAATTATTAAAATGTTTGAAAAACTTAATATAGGAGTATTTATAATGGTTATAAGCGGAACAATCATAAGAGTGAATTTTAAAATTTCTTTAGTATATTTCGTAGGCATAGCGTATGGTTGAAATACATTCTGTGTTTCAGTTTTGCAGTGAGAAGTTACCTTTTTACAGAATGTCACATTGGCCCACGGGACTTGCACGGTTTCTTTTAATGTACCTGAGGAGCGGAAAATATACAATACTAAAGAAGCAGAGTTTAAGATTGCTGACTGATTTAATTTGGCTCAAAATAGGGTTCATGTAACCACAGGCTTTCGGGTTCCATACAGTGCAAGACATTTGTTGAGTAACTGTCAGACTGCAAACTTCTCAAGAGGGGCTGTGCGTCAGAGGACCTACGAGCCCGCGGAAGTGTTTTCTAGTGCCCGCAAGAACTTCTGATTAAGTAACTTAATTAGGGGCAGTTCGGTCATTGCTTTTGCCTTGTAAGTTTTCATATTCGTATACGGCTAATTCGCAAGTAATATATTAATGACCCCTTATGTTAAAAGTAGTATTTTAAATGCGGACATTTTGGGGGGGGGGGGGTATTAAAGCATATAGCGTCCTTTCGAATGAAAATATCTTAACTGTACTCGCCTAAGAAGTTTGGCCTAGTTTGCTAATGGTTGAACCGGTAGTGCTGGTACTTGGGTGTTGTAGAAGCTACCTGATTTACGATTACTCTTACACAAATTTCGTAATTTTTGCTTTAACTCGCTGAACTGACAGGTAAGGTTCGGAGCCAGCTGCCGAGTTCCTTATCTTGTCCGATAAGGGTTTGTTGCATTGCGTTACCTGGGGGGCATGTCAGAGTGAAAGCGAGAGGGACATTCCAAAACGGTTTAGCAAAATGATGTTTTCCCATTTAAGATATCTGGAAATACAGTTTCACAAAATGTGTCTCTTGAGTGGTCAGCACTCCTGATTCGTATTCTGATGTCCGTGACATCGATTCTCGACCCTGACTGTCATCGCAATTATCCTTAGTATCCCTTTAGGCAACTGCTGGTATAAAAATAGCCTACGCGGTTGAGACAGTGTCATTAAAGAGTTAAGTGACATTTAAGTTCCCCACTGCGGCGAGTATAAAGATGACTATCTTCTGGAATGTCGAACCTCGTATGGTAGAAATTGACCGATTTTTTCAGAGGTTGTCTGCTGCTACCATCATCAGGGGGATTTTTTCGGTTTATTACGCAATAATATTCCCAATAAGAGACGTCACTATGAAAAGAAACTATACCAATCTTTTGATTCATGTAATGTTGCTTTGTCAACTGTAGGCTTGTAAGTTAGGGTTATATTGTAAATGATTTTTGGACGAAGTGTGGAAGAACGCGACCGTGGTTTATTGCAATGAATTGCAGAGCATTTTGCCTGAAGTGAACGAAAGAAACTGGAAAAACTCTGGCAGCGTTGTTGAGTTTTATAACCGGAAACACCCGCTTACGGAACACACGACAAAGTTCAGCAAAAGTAACAGAGCTTTCTGTTATTTTATTAACTGCTTTGTTATAGAACACCACAAAGAACGGCTATTCTGTACCGGTTAGCATTTTTTTTTTCATCCGTTGTTCTGGTACACAAATATCTTGACGGGAAGTCATCATATCAAGAATTTTATGAACACAAATTGGCTACCAAATATCAAAAGATTGTGCGCCTGTAGGCCTACACATTATAATATGGATTTAAGTTGATTTATATTTGCCTGCCTTGTGAACAAATTTAATAGCTTTGAACATGAATTTTTTTTGGAAAATTTGTGATGTTTAGTTTCATTCAAATGCTTTAATCTTTTGTGCGATAAGACTATCAGAAATTATAAATTAATAATAATACAGGGTGATACAAAAGTAACACATTTTCAACATTTAATATAACATTGATTGATGTTTTCTGGATTCAATGTAATTATTACTTTGACAAATAGGGCTTGTGTCAGAAATGGGTTGGCTACCGCATTCAAACTATATCCACTTAACACATGAGTCGACCAGAAGGATTTCTGTCCTACACGCTCCTCTGTCACGGAAACAGTTCACCGGATGAGATATTGGTCGATTTGTTTGGCACAGGAGAATCGAGAAATATATCCCAAAACTCATCCTGTCAAGTTAAGTAAGAACGAGATGCCTGGTTGTGTTCGACAATAAATACTCGTTACATTTGTGAAAAAGACATCCTCGAACTTCGACTTTCGAAAGACAACTGACGGACCGACGCGAGCCGGTTATGACATGACATGAACGGAGTGGGTTCTGGTGTAGTCACCGCCATATTGTATTTATTAATCAAATCAAATTATATTGAATTGCAACGATCAATAAATATTTTAGTGTGGGTTTCGTGACTTCTGTTTCACTCTGTATAATTTGGAAATGCGTTTCTGTGCGTAACAGAGGTTCTGGCTGTGTCGAATTTGTGAGACTTTCGTGATGTTTTGTGATGAGCAGACTCAGCAGTTGGACTGTTGCGTTAAAGTTAGTTTCATTGTACGGAAGTTACTGAATCAGGATGTGAGTGCAAACTGATGTTTAACTACTCATCGCAACGCGTTTATCTACACGCAGTGACGAGCGTGTGAGAGCTAATTTCCTGTTTGACACAATCGAGCAATTGATTATATATCTTACGCTACTGAACACGAAAGCAGGTTATTTTCAAGACATGTATAAGAAATCCAGAAGATTTGTTCAGCGTTAACGCCGTACATTTAACGAGTAATTTTAGCCCCTCATTAATCCACAAGCTAGAGGACCACCTCTTATCGGCTGTCCGAGACTGGTTATTTTGTTTTTATTCAATATATGTATTTTGTGTATTTATCAAATCTCCTTAGTTGCTTGGCAGAAGTGGCCTCTTTAATAACATGATCCAGCAATCTGCGCTTCTGAATCTGAAGTAAGTAAACTGATATTTCTCATTGTTAGTTTTAAAGCCAGTTATAGTTTATCTTCATGAGTAAGTCAGGGCAATAACATTGCAAGAGTTGGGGCCACTTTAGTTAGGTTAGGTTGGGTTTGGTTAGGTTAGGTTAAGTTAGGTTAGGTTGGGTTAGGTTAACTGTGAGATGTTTTAGGTTATTCTTGGGACCCTTGCGTTGCGTTTTGTTTAGATATGCACCGTTTTAACATTTATTGTGTGATAGGTGTCTTGAGGTCACGTATCTGTAAATGTCATTAACTTTCACGAAAATATTAACCCTTGGTTAAGCTGAATGAAGACATGTAGAAATTAATATGTAACTTAAATCGAATATTTCTCACTCTTAATTCTGCCGAACCTTATGAATCTTAGTGGACATACCAGACAGACTAATTTGCGACCGAACAGATACTCGTGGACTGTATAACGTGGCGACGAGAGAAAATGATTCAACAAAGCGTGCAGATTCTCACCACTAGCAAAACAAAAGAGGAATAATCATCTCTCACACAATAGCATTCTCATGTGGGTGATGACCCGGACAAAGAACCACTCCAGTCCTAAGCTTTTTTATAATACTGAAACATGGAAAGCTAATCGTGCTATAGATACCACATTGCATAGTCAGATATCATATCTCTTGTACTTTTGTACTTTGATAAAAATACGTCACCGGGAGAACACATCCCCTTTTATGTGTGTAGATCTTTATACGATTATTATTTAAATCATTTAATTATGAACATTTTTTACAGAAATTTAATAATGTTCAGTATCTGCTTAGGGATAAAAATTAGGTAGTTACACACCACAATCAAATTCTTTCAGACAAATTTAATGCTCTGTCCTAAACGGCTAAATTTAATTTAAATCCGTTTCTGACATAAAACACGAAATTTGACCTACGTATTCTTGCGACATTCCCATTGTGCGTTCGTGTTGTTTACTTTGCGTATGGGAAACTTGGATAATTGTAAGAGTACGCAGAGCCTGTTTCCAGAGGTTTACTGCCCTTGAAGCGGATGTTGAGGTGTCTTGTCCTTGTTGAATTTCAAGAAGTCACAGCGAGCTGTGTTATGTCGTTCTATTGAAAGCCGGTTGTATGAGGAATGTAACGATTTCATTTCTGCCTCTGTACTGTAGTTTTATTCAGGTTGTATCAATTGGATGTCGAATTATGTAGATAAGAATATAGACTGAACTTATCTGAAAAGTTCTTTGCTGTGCAGTAGCGAAAAAGAGTTTGTGAAGAAACCTCAGGAAGCAATGAGGTAAATTTTAGAAAGGCAAAGCAAACATTGTTTATTTTCTTCCAAACAACTAGACTTCTGAGCTGGGCGCCATCCGATGTAATATGGTATGTCATGGTATTGTTGTCAATGTTAGAAATTCATTAATAAAAGTATCTGTTACAAGAGACCGTTACGATTAGCAGCGTCCATAGTTCCCAGCTTTCAAATGTTGTATTGTGTTAATTCAATCTGAGAAGTGTTTCTGTTTCAAAATTTGATTAACGACCAACAACCCGCGCTTCTATTACAGAATGCGAACCATAACCAATAACATTTTAAGTTCTTATTAGTGGTTATGCGCCAGAACAAATATTTTCCTGAAGTCATGATAAAAGATTCGAACCAAGATGATCCTCTGTCTGAGTGTTCGACAAAGGACATTAAAAGAATCACTTGATTTATGTATTCCTTTTAGCTTTCATGATATGGTTATATGAATTGTATTACGATTTATTTGAGATATCAACAAATATAAAATCTATGGTAGATTGTCCAGTGTTATACTTAATTAATCATATAAATTGAATATACGTTTACTCACCCTCGAACAATAAATTCTAAGAAATAATTACCTCTACTTAACCTTAATGTGTATTGTGAGGCTAGCACGCAATGTAACAGATAATTTTTGTTTATAATTTACGCCCTTGCATAATTTTGTTACATTAATTATGTCAGATATAACCTCTAAATTTGTATCAACACCATTTTGAAATTTTTAATGTATGAAAATTTTTTGTGTATGGATTTTAGGTAAGTTTATCGTGTATTTTTATTCAGAATCTTACATGAGTAATGGTTCATGAGTTATAATCATGAAATCAAAGGTTAAATATTACTTGGATTTAGAACTAACATGTTTTTGTTTTGCGTTATAGACCAACGAATAATTATTATATGAGCTGTATTAGTAAGCCTACATAACAGTTTAAATCCTTTATTAAATGATGCGGGGGTGCTCTCCCCCATGTAGATATTGTCGATCGTACGAAATTATGAATTGAATGTGAGGTGTTATTTAATGTTAGTGGAATGTTGTAGCCTATATATCAAGGTTTATAAAACTGCCCTTTAAAGCATAATGGTAATTATATGTAGTTTATTCAAATTTCAATAATTGTAACATTGCTAATATTAACAATCTTTACACTCACGTCATATTTCTGTACTTTACAGAACATAATAAGATAAAATATAGCCTACCGGACTGTAACTCGTGTATATTTCGTAACTTATAGAAAGGGCTATTGACATTGACAATGACTGCATAATAGCAGTATTAAATAAACCTGACGCAGCGTTGTAACAGTATGCAGGCCTGCCACCCGCTCTGACATTCAATACTCTTTTGCATTTTACCCTCAGAGTGTAGATTACTTGTGGATGGCTATGATTCTTAGAATAAACTGCTATTATTTCCATAAGCAGTATTAGCCATGTCAGTTTAACCAATTGATTTTTTGTAGAGTATGACGTGTTGTGTTTTGTTTTAGGTAGGAGCTGAGTAATATTTAGATGAGCCTAGTGCTTCAGAAGGTTACTGTTTCTAAAGGTATTTAGGGATTCATTTTAAAATAATGAATCACTGTAACAATTAACCTGGAAGATTGTTAAGGACAAGCATGTTTGCAATTCGTCCAGTTGTCCTTCCAGATCCGACAAGTAACAAAGAAAGTGCATTTCGCCTTTACCATTAACCTTGCTTTGGAACTGTTGTAGTAGTTACATATCTCATTGTTCATCAGGGGGCAAGGATATTCAACAAGATAACCTTCACGTCAGAATGTCGACTGACATCTGACCATCATATTCCAAGGGCTGAACTACACACCATAACTAATAATATCCATGTAGTTGATAGCGCCTTACCTACGTAGATGGCCCAATGCATATCGCACAGATTCTGAATCGAGTTTTAATTGAGGTTACTGCAATAGCTTCCCTCCATTACTCCTGCAAATACTAGGACAATTTTAACCTGAAGACGGCTATCTTCTGGGTTGTTACGCCGTGTAGTCTGGTAGAAGTTTACCGACGTTTCAGAGGTCCATGCTGCCTCCATCATCAGGGTGATGACTCATCGCCCTTATGATGGAGGCAGCAAGGGCACGGCGCAACAACCCAGAAGACAGCCATCTTCACTGAGATATCTCTGCTAAGTCAATATTTCCAGTGTGTGTGTCTGTACGATAATACGAGTTTTAAAATTCGTTCAAATGCCGGGAATTTCAAATATATGCAAGTGTAGGATGGAGGAGAATGCATGCTCAATTTAGTTCATCTTTCGTCCGCATGTAGCGTATATGCCACAGACATACTGCCACCATGCATAATGTTTATTATCACAATTTTATTTTATTATAATGAAGCCATGGTACAGACAGGAAGTATATGTAACGAATCACCTGCATAAACTTTTAAACTTGTTTTATTTTTCATTATTTTTTACTACGGAGAACACTAGTGTATAAATGAGATTTTATGTAAGTAATTTAATAATACATTTCATTTCATTAGAGCATGAAATAAAAGATATTCTGTTAAGGGTATAAATCTTAAGCTTATACTGTAAACTTGCATTTGAAACTATAAATTCTTAATATTGTCAGTCAATTTAAATTAAGAGGTCGTTGACTATTGGTGCAAAATACTGAACGATATTTATTGCAGGCTGCTGTCGATTTTGCTCATCTGTCATATAGTACGGTAATTCCTGTGAGTATAATTTGTGCCCGCGAGATGGTGGTAGTGTAACGTCTGGAACGTGTCTGTATAAAAATAGTTATGCGTCAGGATATCAACTTCCGAAGTTGTCTAACTACAGAGTTTTTGTTAATATAATTAAAGATTGTTTGAGTGGTTCCTGTTACGTGGTAAGTTTAATTTTATAGAAAAGCAATATCTATAAGGTAAAAGTTTCTTCGTATTTATTTTCAAGGCCGGTATTGAAATGTGGCACTCCTCGAAAGATGAAGGAATTTCTGAAACGTTGTTTCGAAACGAAAATAAATGAAGTTTCATTCAGTATGAGGTGTTGACCAGACGACCGTCGTAGGTGTTTTGGCTAGGCACCTTCATGAACTTTTGAGCTTGGACGAACACGAATCAGGTCGTACAGCGTAATGTGATTCCACAGTGAGGACAAACAACATACTTTGAGGTGTATCGTTTTATATTGGTAAATTTTTATTAAATTTGAAAGAAATGGTTTGAGGTTAGTGCCCCCAGCCCATCTTGTTTCTCTTGGTATTTAAAAGTAATTGTGTAGATATATAGAGGTAAATTGCTCATTATTGTACTTATTGATTAGATAAATGTGAAAAGATATGCATGCACAAAATATGTACTTGTTTTGTATGAATTGTTATCTGTATCAGTATGGTGACGAGTTTCAGTTTATCTAGCTTTATTGCAAGATAGCATTTATTCTTTAACATACAGTATTTTCTGGTGTACATTATGCAGTGAAGCAACTCAGTAAAATTCTTTCACGGTAGTACTTAATTTCTGTGAATTCTGACTTCTGAAGCTGAAGCTCGTGTAAATAATATTTAAAATTAAGTCTCTTTTGCAAAGAAAACATAACATGTCTTCATTTCAAAGACATGTTGGTTAGTGCTGCTTAGGGAAATAATTGCTGTTTATTTTGAGAATCATGTGATACCCATAAATATTCTCTGTGGGCAAAATGCTGAATTATTGATTGTTAAAGCAGGTGTTTCATCTAGATAGCATGGGCTTCAAGAGATTAACTTTTTCCATAAGCCACAGTGTTTTATATATTTTCTGAATTGATTAGAACTCTTCATGTCACTTTAGAAAATTTGCTGAAACCAGTGGCGTTTCAGCTGTGCTGTGACGGCATATGATGACAACAGTGATAATTTGTGTTGTGTGCTACTGTTTTGAGCTGTGCACCTTTTAGGGCATGATAGACCTTTTGATGATCATTTGTTAAAAGGATACACAATGATAATGTGGATATGATAAGATGATAGAGTGTTTGAAGGAGTTTTCTTTTAATATTGTGTATAAGTGCAATGGATCATAGCTAGGAAGTGCTTTAGACTGGTTGTTGACCAAACGAGTGTATTCTTGATGCAAATACTGGAGAAAGCTAGTAGATATGTTGGTAGGTGTTAAGAAGACATTATCATACAATAGGATATGATGTTTTAAACCTTTTAATATTATTTTATTATTATAATTGTGAATGACTGTAATTTTTAATATATATTTTAATATACGGATCACAATATGACGCAATTACAATATTTTATGATGTTTCATGTATATATTTGGATGCATACTAACTTGTTAGTTGAAGATTTCTGTCTTCTAGGTTGTAGTGCCATGTAGTCTTAGAAAATTACCAATGTTACAGAGATCCTTGCTGATTCGTTACCCTGTTGATGGAGGCAGCAAGAATCTCTGTCTGGCAGTTGACAAAGTTTGGATTCAGTTTATAGATATCTTGGACAGTTTTTGGTATTAGTACTTGCTGTTATTGATGCCTCTTCTTGTTGGCAGTCATCCTGGTTTCATGCCACTTTCTGTACAGCTTCAAAGGATAATGGTAAATCTGGGTATTGCCATAAAAAATTAATTCCTGTATTGTAAGATTTCTTTCCTCCTATGCATTTCTGAACAATGAAAGTAATTTAATACTATATCTCACCATGGTTGGACATTGACTAAAAGAATGGTGACTGCCAACTGGTCACAAGAAACATGCAATGATTCGCTGCATATTTATTGTCTTGGCTGCATGCTTGCAGTTTATATTATGTGATTCAGTGCATGCCAACTGCTTACCAGCTGAATGATCGCATGAACAAAATGTTGGTAACAGTCAGATGAGCTGTGTGACTCATTGAATACTGCCTGCTAAGTGATTGTGTGAGCAATATGCTCATAATGATTCATTGAGCTGCTGTGTATTTGTTCACAAAGAAATGAATATCATGACTCTTTTTAAGTACAAAGATGTTAAATCACAGAAAATGAATTTGGAGACTATATATACTGAAATGGGTACAAATTTAGTATTGGTTTACCATTTGGATTTAGTCATTGGAAAATGATGAAATTAGATAAGTGACGCATTTTGTGGGAAGTATTTTTATGATTGGTCTCATTTTGCAGATGTATTAGTGTCCTGTGCATTTTCTACAAGGATGAATACTGAACAGGTGGTTCAAGATTATAGAAACAAAGGAAATGCTTGTTTCAAAGCTAAAAGAATGCTGGATGCAGTATTGTTTTACAAAAAAGGTTTGTATTGTTGAGTTTTTTTGTTATAAAATAGATTCCATGATCATAGGTACCTTGTGTTTGGCCTTACCAAGACCCATGACAAGAGGAGGAAATACAATTGCTGAATGACTGCTTTCTCTACACATTCCACATGATATGCAGTACAATCTGATTCCCATCATAGGGTTTGCACCGCCATTATAATTATAATGGATGGTAGTCTTCTGGGTTCTTTTTTTCATTTAGTATTTTGGTTGCAGGCATTGAGCTAAAAATATTCTGTGACATTACTGGCATCAGCCATGGTGCATCACAATAAACATATGACTAAAATGCTGCATGGAATAAGTCAAATAGCAAGTATACTACATAGTATAACAGGCACAGAGCCGTACTAAGGGCGGTATGACTGGTTCCCTTGTGAAAAGGGGGTGCAAATGTTTTTTTTAATAATCTTATTCTCTTATCTTTTCCATGAATAACTCAGCCTCTCAGCCATGGCAGTATGATTCCTGTAAACCAGTGGTCCCCAACCTTTTTGTGCCTACGAGTTTATGAGATGGCGGGCACCAACCAATTAACAAAGCCAAATTTTCTTTTTTCTGAACAAATAAGATATGGACACCAAATAATACACAAAACAACGCAATGTTTAATGATACAAGAAACCATGCAATAAAAAATACGTACTTTTATAAGTACAATTATTATTACTGAAGTGGGAAGTTAGTGCGATTTTTGGCGCTGAAGTTCATCGGCCAGTTTTTCAAATTTGGGAGGGTAGGATATGTTGCTCCTCGCAAACAATCATCAAGATGGGCGTCAGTAAGTTGAGATCTGCGCTTTGATTTTATAATGTTCATGGTTGAACGACCTTCATTATTCAGTATAACCTCTTTCCGTAACAATGCAGGCACCCAAAAAAAGCCTTGGCGGGCGCCCGTGGGTACCAAGTTGGGGACCACTGCTGTAAACTATACTTATAGTTTACACATCTCTTTTTATTGCAGAGTTCAATTTACTTCATTTTATTTGAGCTGCTACTGGCTATGAACTTTTTAAATGACAGTCACCGTGCATGTGGTGGCAAGTGTTTGTACCGTGATGTTCTGTATGTTGAATTATTTTGTAGAATTCTATCAGTGATGAACTGTCAAGTGTTTTGCAACAGCAATTTTTCTGAAACATCAACGCACGTGATACAGTTCGGTTAGGTTAGGTTTAAGCTGTTAGCATTGCATGCAAACTAATTTCTTAAATTGCAAAAACTTTGGGTGTTGATTATCATTTTTACCATGTGACTAGATGTATGAGTGATTTTCTTACATGCAAATAAGTTCAAGATGCCATACAGAATTTAAATTTCACTTTTGAAATACTGTCCTGTAAATGGTTAGTTTTTTCAATGGCTTGGTGTATGCATGCCATTGTAGATTCTTTGTTACATTTAAAGTCTGTCACTGATAATGATCTGTTTGTAATTTCTGTAAACTCATATTTCTTGAATATCGAGATTGTTTTCTATAACAGGCAGTTTCTGCCATATATTCTGTTATCTTATGAAGTGTTTGCCAGGTCCTTGATAATTTCTGGTCAGCAGAAAATAGTCGCAAGATTTTGTAGGTACGGAATTTAATGTCATGTGTAAGTGCCGGCTTTGTAGGAAATATAAAACATTTTGAATGGAGAGTATTAATAAAAAAAAGGAAGTTTTATTTCAGCTCTGGAGCTGGATGCAAAAAATCCGTATATAAATAGCAACTTAGCACAGGCGTATCTAGAAGAACGTGATTTTGGGAGGGCAGAATACCATGCCATGAAAGCAATTTCTGCCAATAGAGATTCACCTAAGGTAAGATAATTCAATGAATGTGTGATAAAAGAGAGCAGTTTCTGTCGTAAGGTGTCGGAACAGTTCTACAGTCTGGTGGTCAGGAACTTGTGCCCCATTCAGTCGTGCATACCTCAGCAGTCAAAGTGTACATGTTCATGTTTTCTCTCTTCTTGCATTCAGTTGGGAAAATTGTATATATCCAGATATTTCTTCGCACTTATAGTAATTTAGGAAGTATACTAAAATTAATTTTATGAGAAATTTACAGCAGTTTTAAAAAAATGTAAATCCATGAAGGTTACAAGGTGGTAATGACAGTCCTACATTAAAAATAAATTAGTTTGCACGTGTTACAAGTTGGGCTTCGATCCCAGTGACAATAACACACATTTATGGATGCACAATTAGAATGTACAATTTACTTATGCCTCAGCGAAGCTCATTAGTGCCAACATCTCAAGCTTAAGAAGATTTCTGTCTTCTGGGTTGTTCCGCTGTGTAGTCTGGTCGATGTTAACCCTGATGACGGAGGCAGTATTACCTCTGAAACGTTGGTTAACATCGACCAGACTACACAGCGCAACAACCCAGAAGACAGAAATCTTCATACTCACTGCTGTGAAAATCTCAAATCTAACATCTCAAGCTTAGACTTCTTACAGGTTCTGTTTTCTAATTCCTGGGAAATTGGTGTATTGTAGTGGAGATGGTATTTTTACAGTTTAACCATTCAAAGCCCAGTGGTAATTATATGTAGCACACACTTCAACATTCAGTAACTGAATAAACAGTGGTTATTGTCCTAAACATTTTCAGTTGTCTGATCTTTGTCATGGAGATACATTATGATTTGTTTGTCTCAAGATATGAAGTTGTTGGTGTTATTTTGACAAGATTTAGCCTCAGGGAGGATTCGTTTAATTGATATTGAAGAACAAGGAATCTGAAAATGTTATTGATGTTAGAGACCCATATGCTGTACTTTTAAGTTGCATTAAACAGAAGGCAGATAGAGTAATAACTCGGGTTTTTAAAAAAATCAAGACAATTATATAATTGGATACATAAAGCTGAAAGGAAGAAAATAGTTTCTGCATTTACTTTTATCCTGGTGTGACTACAGATGGTAAGTTTACTTTTTCAATAGTTTAAGATAACTGTATGCCTGATAAGCATTACTTCTAATAGGTGTTATAATTTTTTATATTTTGAAAGCGTGGGTACCTTCTTCAAGATTTTATGTTCCTATTTTAAAAATCTAAAATTAAAGTTTTTATCACCTGGATGTCTTGAGACTTAGTAAGCATAGCATCTAAATTTTAACCAGTAACACATTTTTCTTGCAGGGGTACTTCCGAGCTGCAAAAGCATCTGTAGGTTTACATAACAAAGACAAAGCAATAAAGTACTTGAAAAAGGGAATTGAAGTTTGTAATAATTCTGATACAGAAGATCTGAGAACTTATCTGAAGACCTTGTGCGAAGAGCACCCATCAGGTATATATTCCAAGTGTGTTTTAGATTAAGTAGAAGAAATTAACACTTTGTGCCTTGTTGATATATATTTCGCTGTCTTGTCTGGCAAATGTGTGAGTTTTATTATGGCACGTAGATTAAAGGACGTGATTGAAACCGTAAATCCTCATCCAACATTGAGGTTAGGTTTCTCAATAAATTTGGGTAAATGTTACCACTCATTTTAGTACCTAGGTACATATTTTTTACACACAGATGATTGTGTCTACCTAAAATGTATATGACATGAAAACAACAAAACCATAAACATTATGCATTTACACATGGAAAATAAAATACATTAAATCTTGCATTTATTGTAAATTATGTAGCAGCACAAGCATGAATGAAACTAATGTTAGTGGAAGAAAATAGTGTAGAAGTGTTGGAGAGGTCAGGAGAAACAACTGGAACTTGGGTTGGTATGCGCACCAAGTACAACAAAAACCAAGCACTTGAAATTTTCCAAGTTCCAAACCGGAAGTGATGTGAACATACAGTAGTACTTAATCTCCTCGTATTTGTTCATCTGTGTCTTTTCTATGCCTTCCGTTAAGTACAATACCAGATGTTGATTTTAACAAGGGCACCTATTTTTTCCTAATTTTAAGAAAAACTTTAATACATGAATTAATGTTTGTGACTTTTCTGAGTCACATGATAAATTCTGACGAAAAAGCAGAGCTGAAGGCCATATTTTCTCATAGACAAGTTGCTAGGGTAGGAGGCTAGTGTTGAAATGAAGATTAAATTTGTGAGTTCATATCTTGATGCCTGATTTTTTCTTTAATGATTCTGTTATATTTGCAAAAGTACTAATTAATACTGTGCACTTGTCAAGTATTCAACTATATGCGACATATTCAGAATACAAAAAGGGCAATTTTAAAGATATGGCATCTTAGTAAGATGTCCGGAATCCCTGGGTCTCAACCATGGATCTCATTTGCCTTGGCATCGACTCATTTAGAGATGACACATAACTCTGAGATGAAGGCATTTCATGCCAATTTTCTGGCAATAGGATCTAAAGAGCAACTCTCTCTCGCTTGGAAGGAGGTCAAACCAGGTTTCCTGCTTATGTATTTATCGGTTCTCTGACAATTAAGGATTGATTTCTCTTTGTACAGGTACAAGAGTTGCTTCCCAAAGTTTACAAGAGGACTTTACTATGGTTGTAAGTGGCACTTGGTCTGTTTTGTCTATTGTAGTTTATCTAATTGCCCACACTTATTTTAAGATTTGTGTAGGTGTCATTGCAAACAATTCTTGTCCTTGTGTTAAGAATTTTAAAAATTTATGCAAAATGTATTAAACCCCTTAAAATGCTTTGCTTGGGACACAAATTGTGTAAAAACTTTTTTCTGGAAAATCATATGTGGTAGCATAAAATGCTGAAAGTACACCATTGCTTAATATGCCTTTGTTGTATTGTTCTACCAAAAATCAGTAATTTCTGCATAACTCTGCAAGAAGAGGTTATCTTGGTTTGGGGTTAATGTTTTGGCCTCCTGGTATCAACACATCGCCAAAGTAGCTTGGTGGTTTCATACTCTCTACATTGCTCTCTAGTACACACACTGACGTGAAAATAGATTGTTTGGATGGGAGGCAGATGAAAGTGGCTAAAGGGTTTCTCCACTGGCAGGCTTAAGTATAAGCAGTTTTGTATCTGATGGTTGTGTTGCCAGAGAATATGTAGGTTTGTTGGTTGGCAAGAACTCATAAAAATTATATTCTTGACTTCACAAATTTTAGCAAAATGCAAATTTTAAATTGGGCATTAGCCTAAACCTTTGTTATGCATGGCATTTAGAAATCCCTCAGGTAAAATAAATGGGAGGGGGTGTTCAGCCAAAATGAAGATGTGAATTGTGTGTTTACACATTTTTCCGAAGATGAGCCCTGGGATGCCATACTACACAACGCTGTCAGTTCGACTCCCAGTGTGGCTACTTATGTTGAGATGTCAATTGAAGATTCCAAATCACGTTAAGAGAAGCCTCAGGATGCCATATGACACGATTCTGACAGATTAACGCTGAGTGTCATGATGCTTGTTTGCAAAACCGATACAATATTCCAAGAGCGGATGAGCCAAGGGATGCCATATGACACGAAGCTGGCAATCCAACGCCAAATGTAGCGATGTATATCATTGAGACACCGACTGAAGATTCCAAATGAAGCCACTCCTTGGAATGCCATATGACGTGGGTGCTGGCAGACTGACACCGAGCGCTGCAACTTGTTCATGTGACGCTGATTCAAGATTCTACATCAAGTTAAGAGGAACCTCAGGAAACAATACCACATGATGCTGGCTGTATTGCAATGCCAATAGTTGTTAACACAGGATACCACATTTGACAGAGATGAATCTAGGGATGTCATTCAACATGACACTGGAGAACGGACATCGAGCTTCAGGACACCAAACACCGCTATATCCACTCAGAATTTAAAATGAAGCCATTAATCTTGGGTTACCTTTTACTTTTATTAAGTGTGTACCATTGATATTGTTATGCAGCCTTCTTTTGCCACTTTGCTGTCTAGTTGATACCTACTTGATTTGCAGCACATTGCATATGCCTAGACAGCAGATTTTGTATTATGCGTAAATAAGTTACACCTTCTTAATCTTTATCGACCATGCATTGTGACTTATGTGCTCTCCAGCTGGCTATATCATAGTATCATACCACTAAACTGTTAAGACCTTCGAGTTAAATTCCATCTGCAGCTCCATATTATGGAGGTTTAAATACCTTATTCCAGTTCCAGTTCCAGTAAAGGTTAATGCTACCCATGGATGCAATCCTGAGAGGTGTGTTTGCCTTCTTTTTTTTTAGTTCTTTGTTTATTATTGATATTGTAAATGTGGGTATGTGTGGTGGAGTGTTGGCACAATATCATGAAAGGCTAGAGCTGCAGTTTCTGTAAAGTATCATCAATTTTTCTTCTTTTTTTTCCCCCTTCTTTTACCCCCCAACTTGCAGAATGATGTTCCATCCCAGAGCTCAGATTCTGACTCCGCTGAGTACATACAAACTGGCAAACTGGGAAGTCAATCCATATCCAGAATGTCTGCAGCAACTTTCTCGGACATAAATAAGGTACCCTCTTTTTTTGTGTTTTGTAGTGAGCATTTGGTTTTATGAAATTAGCGCAGTATATTTTAGTCACCTCTTCTTTTTCTCTGTCAGTATTGCGTATGTGCTGGACATGTAGCTTAGATTGGGGAAACAAGAAGTGCATACCAGGTGTTTGGTGGGGAAGATTGAGAAGGTTATATTAAAATTAATGTGAATGAAAAGATGCAAGGATGTGAAACTGATTCGTAAGGCTCGTAGTTGTGTCCAGTGATGAGTTCTAGCATTTGCCTTATTTTATTAACAGACATGGATCTGTTTAAAAGGTACTTCATAAAAAATTTTCAAATGAAGTTAAATCTTGAAAATGTAGAATGTTTAGTTTTATTATTTCAAATGAAGTTATATTTTGAAAATGTAGAATGTTTAGTTTTATTGACATTCTTAGTCATGTTTATCTATTCACAGGTGCGCCCGGGTGTGCATGATTTATCTGTGTGTAAAGAAAACTATTTCAGTATATCATATCATCTTTGTTCTAATCTTGAAGTATTACAAATAACTCTCCACATTTCCAATCTTTGGCTTGCATTTTAGCCTCATAATTTTTGCCCCGCTGTCTTCTCATCAGATTATATTTGCACTTCCAGGCTTCCTTTATTAAACAGCATAATGCTAGTTTGTTCCAAACCAGCAGTGATGATGTAAACATTGAAGCAAACAAGAAGCCTAAGAAGAAAAAGAAGAAGGGAACTAATGTGGAAGGGAATCCCTTTATGGCCAGATTGGAAAGTATAAAAAAGGAGCTGGACATAAAAGAAGTGACATCAGAACAGTTTTGGAAAATGCAACGAAATGTAATTTTTTGTTTTGTTTACCGAGTATTGTTTCTAAACTGGTGTTAACATAATATTGACCTTGAAAAGGAATTTCCATGCTCGAGACGGTATAGTATATTTATGTGAATGCAAGATAAGGTTTATTTTGCTTCCTAATTTAGTATGCAATACTGTTTTGTTATCATTTTAAATAAAACAAAATACTTTGTTATCCATTCTGCATGCAGACTGTCTTTTGTTTCATATGTACTCAGTGTATGGCAGTTTAGTGTAATTATTGAATGAAAAGGAACAGGAAGTGGCTAGACACTGGTGCACGTGGGATTAAATGGTGTAGTTTTGTGTAACTTGTAAATTATGGCAGTCACATAAAGAACAGAGACCTAGAGCAGCCCATTTCAAAAACTTTTTTTTAAATGATGCAAGTCTATGTTATTAATGCATAGAGCCTTTACAATACTGTCCAGAAAAAATGATAAATCTGAAATTAAGTGGTAAGTATCAAACATCATATTGTGTACTTCAAATTATTCCTTGTCAGGACTTTTTCCATCGTCTGTTCTTTAAAACCACTACGTTTCGGAGGCTGGTTCTGTCTCCGTCTTCAGGTGAGAGGTACCTACTCTGTTGGATCCCTTAGGCTAGGGCCACACGACCCTAGAAAGTACGTCCGTTGTAATGCACATTGTGACGTCTGTCATAGAATTATGAAGGGGCGTATAGGGTACAACACACGAAGCATGCACGTGCTTCGTGTGGCCCCAGCCTTAGATAGAGCTAGTCTCTGTCACTGGACAATATAAATCGTGCAATTATTTCAACTTATCCACCCAAGTACGTGTTCTGTCAGACCTGACGGAACCCGTACTGTGTCAGTTTTAGTACCTCAAACACATTTTAAAATGTACTTCTGTGTGAAAATATTTTATGCTGGAATAGGAATGTAAAAAATTGTTACTGGCTGCCCGAAAATTTTGTGTTTAAAATTTTATGTCTCGTGCTGCAGGAAAATTAAAAAAAAATAAAGTTTGGTTTAAAAATGGTTTTTAGAAAATAACCCCAGTTTCAAAGCATTTGGTTCAGGGCACAAACAAATGGTCATTTAAAAGTTTTTTTAACTAAATGCTGAGTCTTAAGGAAAATCTTCTGGTCATGAATATAGTAAAGGGAAATATCAAACTATTTTTTGAATTTTTAACTTCTTACATATGTCATAGAATGTACTTGCAGAACAAAATTAATTTTTTAACTCTGTGTACAAGAAAATTGGTAGGGAACAACAATATTTATTTTAATCACCCTGATTCTTAAAAGAAATTAGTAATTGGTCCTTATCAACTGTGTGTTTAAAGAGAAAATACAACAGGATTAAAATGCTTATTCCTGCCTGCATTTCCCATAAAAGTAAAGCTGTTTTGTTATTAACGTTAGCTGCAAGGCACTGAAAATACATTCACAGGAAACTTATCACGTGACAGGCTTGAGACAAAAATATAAAGAATTTCTTAAGTTGGTATATGTTGAATTTTCCTTTGAATTTAAAGAGGCATTTTGCTATTTTTAAGTTAATGATGCTGAACTTTATCACAGAAGGTAACATGTCAGACGTAAATTGTCTCATATACCAATTGTCTGATATTTGGATAAATATGGTAATCTCATTTAGGGTTAAGCTTTTTAGCCCAGTTCATTTCCTCTATTTATTGGCAAATGTTGTGTTGTGTCCATTGATATATTTTTTTCAAATGCTTGAGGTTTGTTAAAGAAGGTGATTACGATATTTATTTCAGGAGTTTCAGTCACTCCTGAAGGAGGGGTCTGAAGTAATGGCAAGTGGATTGCCAAGAAAAGCAGTTGAAAAATATAAAACTGCTTTAGACATGATCCTTGATCATTCTGTTGAGGTGAGTGTACATGATTCTCAAGGATTTTCAGAGATATAGGATTACGTGGAGAAGAATTTCTGAAGCACCAAACAATGTGCATAAAATCTGTGTTTGTAATTCTGAATAATAAGCGTGAGAAATTGATGACCTGTTTTAGGATAAGATCGATTAATATGCTTTTATGGTAACAGCAGTGAACTTTTTATACCATAACAGTAGGGAATTTCTTGTATTGTGATTCACCTGGGTTATTAAGTGGTTACCAGTATTTTGGAGATATGTATCACCTCCATCTTCAGGGTGGAAGTGACAGTAGGTTTCTCTGAAACAGTAATTATCTGCAAGAGTACATACTGTCCAAATCAGAAAACCACAATTTAAATTTTAAAAACCCTCAGAACTTCAAATTTTACAGTGAATCTGTTTTATGGAGGGTCCACATAAAGAGGTGCAAATGAGTCTAATTTTGCCGTGTTTTCATTTTATGTTATGCTAATTTTGACCGTCACTACCATTAGATGATGTCTCACATTTTAATACTTGTTCCAATTTCAGGATTTTAGAATAAAAGAAATAGACGTAATTGTTTTAAAATATTCGTTGTGTGTTGGGTGGATTGACCTTGCCAATTATGAAGACATTGTTAAAGCAGTGGAATACTTAAATGATATTGAAGAAAAACGTTCATCGAAATTTCCTGCTGTGTTTTATGGCTTGGGAAGTGCGTATTATAAATTAAACAGGTATGTTTTTAGTTTCACACCAGTGAGAGGTTTTGGTTACATGTGTGTAGAAATGTCTGGCTGATCACTGATACATACAATTATTTCAGGGGAACTGGAATGTATATTTGGTGAAAGTAAATTTTAATGATATGCAAATGTAAATTTGTTGTATTTATCTGAATATGAGATGTTTCCCTCTTTAAGATATTACATTTAAGATATCTCTACTGAATTGTTAAATTCAGATTACCTAAAGATGAAGTGATGGAATTTAGGCTTGTGCTTTTATGACAAAATATAATTGGATTGTGTTTGTTCTTAGATATAAAGCAGCAGTGGAACATCTGGAGAAGGGTTTGTTATTTTTGAAGCGAGAAGTTAAATTTGAAGTTCATCCCTGGCCTGGAACTAACAACATTATTCAAGAAACAACAAGAAGTTTCCTTCAGGTATTTTTGCACCAAAATTTGCTGCTATAAATATCAGGATTTCTTATGTTCTAATTTGTGTTCTTTTGAGTTTATCGTTAAAATGGAAATGTGAGGAACCCAAAATTCAGGGATTTATTCAAGAAAAACATTACTGAAAGTCCTCTCACATTTATGAGATTTGAAGTTCTCACAGCAGTGAAGCTGTTGGTGTTAGTCATCTGGGTTGTAACACCATTTTGACTTGTAGGTAGATAAAACCAATGTTGTAGAAGAACATAACTGCCTGTGTCTTCAGGATTAAAGATTGAGGCAGTATGTTCTTCCTGATTGTTGGTATCTGTGACTGCAAGTTTACTTGGCACTACACCCCAGAAGACCAACATTGACAACTTCAAATTTGTTAAAATACCACTTGCAGCTAAATGAGTTATAACTCGCATTTCAGTGAGTTCTAACCTGAAATATTATGTAGGATTTGAGGTTTTTGCAGAAGTGAGCGTGACAACCAAGAAGACAGCCATCTTCTGGAATAGTATGTTTGCATTATTAGTATTTAATTTTATTACTGTTATGAAACATGTGAATTATTATATTTATTATTTTAGTTTCTTTACAAGAGCTACTAGGGTCAGTTTTATTCAATAGAAAATAAGCAGTGGTATGAAATGTGAAATTGTGGTTTGCTGCAATATATTATTAAATGCAATTAACAAGCACATTTCAGATTAGGGATGAAAGTGGCTGAGATACTATTCTGGGAGAATGGAGAAAAAAACCTTGGGAACCATAGCTCAGTGATCAAATTTGAAATTTGCTGCCATTGAACATAAAATGAGATTTGTCTCCATTTTACTGCTCCAAAATTTGCTCAGTGATCAAATTTGAGATTTGCTGCCATTGAACATGAAATGAGATTTGTCTCCATTTTACTGCTATACTTATTGGTGTCTGTGATAATTGTGGAAGTTTTACTAAGTCAGTAGTTGTTTTTGTTGCAGGAAGTTCTCACAGAACTACTTAAAACTTGCCGTGCTTACCATGAACCCGATGCAATTTGTAGGTACAGTCAGTGTCTTACTCTTAGTTCTCATATCATTCCATCGGAACATATTTTCTACAGGTAAGTTTAACCAACTGAGATATATTTAAACACCATTTTCAATTTATTATGTTTGAAATCTCATATTGTCAGATTCAGTTCGACATAAAAGTGCCATATGATATTCAGTATATTTGACCGAGTCTGACAGAGGACCTGCTTTACAGTCATGTGAACATGTTGTACACTTCCATGTCTAATTTTGGTTTATTTTGTTTGAGTTTTAAAGTTGTTTGAACTTTTCCAACATTTGTTTTAAATGTCATCCTTGATATTGGCTGAGACCGACAGAAGACTTGAAAGGATTAATACTTGAAAGTAGTGTTCTGTCATAAATACAACTGTATATTAGTGGGAAATACAGATTTTAGATTAGATTGTTTTTGAGGCTTGAAAAAGTCATTTATTTTTAATTTAGTAGCAGTAGTTCCAGGTAAACACATTTGAATGTCATGTTTATAATGTGTTATGTTTAAATAAGTCTTTAGAAATCCTCTCACTGAGGCTGGGTTTCAGTTACTGATTTTTTCTGTGTGCAAGTTTAAATTGCCATGTTGGTGATTTTCATTTGCAGTGATCCGGATTTTTCTGGTTTTGTTGTCATAATTTGTCAAGAAAAGTGTAGAATAGAATACCATTTGACATGCTGGAAAGAATATAAAGAAGCTGTGTTGTCCAATAAAATTGGAAAGTTATCCGACAAGGTAATTTCATGCTATGCTATGTAGACTAGAGGATATTTTTATCCATTATTTATTATTTGTGATTATTCTATACCAGTATTAGTAATTACCAGACAAAAATATGCTTCACAGGTCCACATTTATATAAAGAACACTCATGGATAATCAGGAATTTACTTCATGTTTTCTAAATGGAATTTAAGTTTCTCACAGCAGTGTGCTCCAAATTTTATATGTTTAAGTAATCTGTTTATGTAATATTTTTCATCATTATTTTATCATTATTGTGTGTATTAACAGTGTTTGCCTGTTTTTGATTTCTTGCTGTTGGCAAACACTTTAATAAATTAATTGAATTTTATGTTACTAAATTACATGTCTTCAAAGTTTTGTTTTTATGTTTTTAAGGATTTTATAGGCAGATGTTGCCCGACGACAGATTGCGTCACCCAAGGAAATAAACGTTCAGTAATAACAAAAATAGAGATCGTGGGTGATGACACAACCATCAAGACTTCCATTGAAGCTCCAAAGACAGAAACAGCTATTAAAGATTTGAAGAAAATGAAGTAAGACAATTACCAATCTGTTGCTATCTCTGTCCTTACTTTTTCTCTGATTTCTTTTGTGTGTCTTCTGTTACTTGTTTCCACAGTGACCATTATCTATATTTTTAAACTCTCAAAGGCATCTTACTGTCATTTATATGTAGCACATGTCCAAGCCACTGAATCCCTTTTCTTAAAGTATCTCAACATATATAACTGGGATTTTCTTCCTCTTGATAAGAAGTGCATACAAAATTTTAGTAAAAATTTTGGTGGGAAGGGACTACTTAGAGACATAGGATTTGCTGGTAATGGTGTAGACTGGATTTGAGTGATTCAAGATAAAATCCAGCATCAGAATGCTGTAGGTATGGTAATGAAGCATTCAGTCTCTTAAATTTTGGGAATTCTTAGACTAACTGAGAAACTGTCAACTTCTCAACAACAATTTTGCTATATGGAGTTGGTGCCTACATTCATTTATTGAGTAGTGTTTTAATTTTGGATTTTGTCCTTGTCATTTGTTAATACTTCTAAGCAACTTGTCCTCTGCTGCTTGTGAAGAGAAATTTGCTGCGGAGTATGTCATAAAATGTTTTACAAACCTCATCATATCAAAGTACGTTTCATTGAAGTTACATGAGATGTATGATTTATACCTCTTTGCACTGGATACTTTGTTACCAAACTTTCTTCATATCAGAAAGCATAGAATAATTCTCCCCCAAACTAGACTTCACCACTTGGCTCATTGTAATTTGGTGCTCCATCTTTGTGTAACGCTGCACTTTAAAACATTACATCTCTCTACTCCAGCCACCTCTTAAAGGGTTGTAAGTTTGAGAAAAAGTGGCCAAGTTTTACAACATTCTGTAATCAGTCATGGATATTTCAGGCCCCTGTTTCCTGTGAATTGATATTCTTAAAGTATTCTTGCTATATGGGAATTTCCCATCCTTCCATTGTGTTGGAACCACCTTACAGTAGGGTCACAATTGTCCAACATTTGGTTGTCTGACATGCTGCGAGTCATAGTAAGGGATTCGTTTCTGTTGAGACTGCACTTGCATACACTGAACAACAAAGGGATGCGAAGGGTACAGACGTGCTGCTTTTCAGGTGTTGCCTTGACCTTGCTGGCTCAGAAGCAAATAACCATTACATATTTTTTAAGAATTGTGTAATTTTGTGTGACATCCTACATTGTAAATTAGGTAATTGAAATTCATCATCTGTTCAGATTTCCTTTTATTATTGGTGTTTATTAATTTGCTTGATCTTACTTTCAGGAAGAAGAAGGGTGAAAAGAGTGCTGAAATTACTGTTCAGGACAAGGTAATGTTTATGACATGTTTGTATACATAAGAAATTATTTAATATTAACTTTTTCGAATCAATTTGATTATTTTTACGGCAGGTTTATTGTGACATATAATATGTTAGGCAACTAGTTTTGTCACACTGTTGTCAACACTCTTAATATAATGAATAAACTATATGCTATTCTCTCCAAGAGTTGTGCATGAGTTACATCTAACAGTGTACAATTATGGTTTCTTGTCCCATTGTTGAATCTTATACATTAGTTACATTTATACCGTTAGAATCTCATGATGTTGAAAATCAAATGACCCCTGTATGTTAGTAGCATTCTTTATTTCAAATATATTTAATTTCTGTACCCTGGTATTTTGGTATATTTTGTTCTGCTATTTTTTTTTATTATTAGAATTACCACTTCAGGTCTTTGTTTAAATTTTGTTAACTTTTTTGTTGTTTAAATGTGTTTCTGCTGTCATATTTTTCTGCTTCCCATAGAATGATGTATAATGGGCATGAACTTCATTTTAGTGTGAAGAAGGAGCTGGGATAGTTCAGTCATTATATTGACCAAGCTGTGGGTTTAATTCTTGAAGGCAGGATTTTTTCTTTTACACAATATCAATGACAAGTGCTGGTACCCACTCAGCTTTCTATCCATCAGGTACTGGGGTTCTTTCTGCAGGGACAAAGCACTCACTGCATTAAGCTAACAGCTCTCTTCCACTTGGTGTTGAGGTTAAGAATCCGTGGAGCTATACTGCCGTGTGTCCACATATCTCCATGGCATTGTGCTTTGAAATATCAGAGAAAACTTTATTTTACCTGTGAGAAGAAGGAAAGTAAGAAAGCAGAAATGTATTGACAAACAATTAGCATGTTGTATATGGGTCATGGTGATCACTGCAGTTTTCTCTCCCATGTTAGCGTACTGGTAGGATGAATGCATTTGCGTAGTCTAATGCATGCCATTTCACTTTTCTGTGCTGTAACTATTTGGTGTCAGCTAAAACTTTGTTAGAGATGACTAGCTGACAGATACTATGAAAAGAGACTGGGCTGATTAGTCTATTAAAATAAAGTGTAAGGAATTCCTTCATGAAACAACAAGAGGTGGATATTGGAAGAGGAGAATGAAGGCCAGTATTTCCATCGAAGGCCAGCTTCGTTATTACTAGTCTACACAAAGATATCCTAAGAAACATTCACTAGAAGCTTAAAACAGAAAAATTGTTGCTGGTGGCAAAGGACAGAAGAACATGAGATGTAAAGTTTGTGGTAACTTACGCACAAAATAAAGTGTGTTATAAAATAAGAGTGGCACATTGTATTCCACTTGGCTTTCAGTGTTGGATAAATACAGCTGAGACAAATGTCTGGAAACATAGGAAGGATAGGAAATGTTTATTATAAAAACATGTTGCGAGTAATGTTACAAGATGTGCTCTGTGGAGAAAAGAACTTCTATGTTTCCAGAGTTTGGTTTACTTTGTGTTTTCTTTATAATACAGCACTTTATAAATTTTTTGTTTCTCATATGTAGCACCGAAGAAATAGTGCTATACAAATAAAGAAGAGATTTTGATGAAAATGCAATTATTGTAGTCCTAATTATATGTGTGTGTTACTATTTTAATTATACCTGCAAGAGGGTATGAGAAGTAGTAGTGGGACCCACACAATCTTTAGTTTAATTTGTATCTTTAACACCATCAGAATTCAGGATGTGTCCCAATCAGTTATTTATGATGATGTTTTTATTTGTTTATTGGTATTTGGAACTACAGAAATTTTCTTGCAAAGCTATGGCCTGTAGTCACTTCATTACAGTCCCATGCAGCTTCTGTGCACAAATAATTGGACATCTCTGGTCTGAGGGCTGTACCTAGTTACATAAATGGGACTTAGTTTTAGGTTAGAGTGACAGCTAATGAGTTACTGTACTTTCTTTTCAGGCAAAAATTAAACGTCCTCAAAAAATAAAGAAAATTATTTCTTATACAATACAAGTAGCATCACAAGAAACGCAGGCGGCCAACTCAGCGTAAGTAAAATTTGGCTCTTCTACTAATTAAAATTTATTTCCATTTAACATTCAAACAGATATCAGAATTTGGTAAATGCTGAATTTGCTAGAAGAGAAATTGTAATTTTCAATAGTCACCTTCTCCCATGTTATATTTTTCTGGGAGATGCATGCAGAGTTATTATGTTGGGTTGTTCCAGTGTCTAGAAAACATACCAAGTTTGATTATTAAATTTATACTTCATATACATACTGAAATTATAGCCATTAGTCTGAAATATCATTTGTTTATATTATTATAATGTAGATCAGACAGGAATTAATAAAATATACTGCGCTATATTGAAAGGTACATTATATGGTGATGCCTTTTAATGAAATATCATTTTTACATTTTAGGGAGGAGTTGGCAACCCAACTCGAGAACCTCCAGCTTTTAAGAGATTCTAATTTTGGATGTACAGATAATAATGTATGTATACACTACTGTTACTATAGATAATGTTTTGATAGTTTCCTTTTCATGAAAAAATACAAGGTCACCTAATATTTTCAAGTGAATGAAATGTTTAAACAGTGTATTCCAGATTTTGAAGAAAAAAATTAACATGTCACATCTCAAAACCCATCCATAGAGTATCATTGTAATATGAAATTATTTCAGAAGCAGTAATTATTATATTTTTATCAGCTGTTACATCTGTACCCATGCACAGTTTACCAATTTTTATATTTTTTGAAGCTGCTTATGGAATCCATTCTGTAATGACACATCTGTTAGACTTGAATCCATCGTACACAAGTCTTTCCTAAAGAGAAAGTTGTTTAGAAACAGAAATATTCCTCCCCTTGAAGTTTGTAACATTAGACTTGTCACTTATTGTTGTTAAGATAGTGAAATAAGTCCTTTCAAAAGTATGAACTTAGCAGCCAAGTTTTGAGGTCCTTTCAGAAGTGTCAAATTAGTAACCAGGTTCTGAGGTTCAAGAGAGATGTCAAATTCTTCTTCATAGCAGAAACCCTTCTACATCTATGCACAGCATATTCACTACCTTTATGGGGTTTTTTTTAGTGGGGCCAACATTATAGTAGACTATCAGGACTAGAACATGTGAACATAATAGTGTGAACTTTAAGAGTATGTTTTCAGGAAAAATGTAAACCACGCTTTACTTGTTTGTTTTTTTACCCCCTGCATTCTGTACATTTTTTCTTAGTTTGCTTTTGATGTAAACTTAACAGGCTGGTTACATTTCCTCCACATCCAAGACTAATCTTACGTCCCTCCGGTAGGCACTTGATGATGTCTACTTGTCATTTGCATGACTTGAAGTAATTTCTAGTCAGAAATACCCCGTAAACATGGGCCAGATTTTTAGCAGTAACAGAGTATAGGTATTTGAAAGTAAATAGTAATTTGCACATAACTAGGCTTACAGTGTACAGTTCAGTTTATAGCAGATCTTTGGTGGCCACCTTTAGCTTCGAGTTAGTAACTCTTTTCTAGAACTTAAGGACATTTCAGTCAATTGTGCATCTTGCAGCAAGCAATTTGACAGTTAATTTGTTTAAAGTTTTTGTTTATGCACCGTGGTTTTCACATATCCACACAGATGGAAATGTAGTGTGTTGGGGAATGGTGACCTTGTTAGACAAGTCTGCAGACCTCTACAGCCAATCCAGTAATGAGGATATCGATGTTAAGATACTGCAGCACTTGTTGACTCAAATGTATAGACACCCTGTCATGCTGTAGGTACATGTATAAGTATAATTGTGTTACCAGAGAAACATATAAAGCAGGGATATTCATTATGAAAAGAAATGGCCATAAGTGTCATATGTAAGTGAAATAATTAAGTAGGCTGATTGCCAGTGACACCAGACTGCACAGTTAGATAAAAAGATGGATGTTACTTTGTAGCGTTTCTTAATAGTTTGCATCTGACTATAATATGGGAGTTACAGGCATTATTGGCTTCATGGGTAAACTGAGCCGCTTTAGATAAAATGTTCCGTTTTCAACTGTAGATGTGCATTAAACCAGTGGTAAAATCCCCAGGTTGAAGATACTGAATTTGCTTGTGGTACAAATGCAGACCTTCAATACCTTTCAGGGTTTTGTTAGTGGAACACAGGTGCCTGGAAATGTTTTGAGTACTTCAGGTTGGACTTTGTTGTGTTCAGGGCTTTGAACTGCTCAAAATAAGTTTTTAGTTCAGGTTTGATTCATGGAGTAATCTCTCATTCCAATTCAGCTGTCAAGAGCTGCAAAAGATTTAGTCAAATTCAGACTGGTTCGACAAAATTGATTGAGCAACAGAGAACAGAGGGAAGTGTTGATGCAAGTGTAATAAGAGAATCTGAGTCTTGAACCATGCCTTTTTGAGACTGAAAACAACATTTTAATACACTGCATAAGTACAAGCTGCCTCTTGTGTACAAAAACTGAAGGCTGTGACTGTTTACATAACATGTTGTGAAATTCAAATACCCCTATTTCATAACTCTTGAGAATCTGGCTATTTTTTGTAGGACATTTAAGTCATGAGTAAGCTCTTGAAGTATTAGCATAAAGTTGTGAAAAATTCTGTGTGTAATTTTTCTTTCCCAGTGGAATCTGAAAGAAAATTCTTACGACAGTGAAAATATACAACACTTGGATCATTTTTTGAGCCCAGAGGAGGAACCTCTTCAACCAAAAAAAGAGTTTGTTTTCTCGTAAGTAGGACTTTCTCTCTGAATTGTAGTTTTAACACTGTTAGTTTTTAATTCACTACTGATCCTATGAAGACAGGCTGTTACCACTAATTTTGTTTGATTATTCCATGAAAATATAATTATTTTTTAGTGTGTTTTTATGTTATAATTATCCATTCTCAGCTATTTTTAGTTATACATACGTGGTTTGGAAGTGTGTATATCATCAGTGCTTTGCTGTTGTACTGTGACCACTCATCACTCTCACAATGTGTGTCCATCCACTCCCACATCTCATAAGAAAATTTGCACAATCAGAATTCATCTACAATCACAAAGCTTTGGCTGATGTTCAGATTCACAACACAATTGAAGTTCACTGCTTTTGTACTTTGTGTGTAAGAAAGTAGTGATGTTTAAAGAAGAAACAAGTTTTGAATTTTGGCATCAATTTTTAATCTCTGAAAGTCACAATCACTAACTGTCGCACCTTTGCTGCACATGGATGAACAATTGATCATCTTAGTTGATGCTGTGTGAGTTGGCTA